TGTATGTATGTATGTATGTATGTATGTATGTATGTATGTATGTATGTATGTATGTATGTATGTGAATATATGAAAGTGTTTGGATATGTAGGTAGGGGTATGTTTATGTGTATATGTATAAATTTATATATTTATATGGGTATGGTTTTCAGCAAGGCTAAAGTCATTATAATTATATAGATATGTATTTTTGTTGCTGTGGTTTTGCTATCTTTGTTTTGTAGCTGTGGAGCCAAGAAGTCCGGTGTGCTGTCTTGTGTTTTCTCAACATATATTTTGCATATCTTCTAATCTCTTTTTCACCGTTTCTCATTACATTTCACTTTTTTCTTTCTTCTTCTTTTTCTTCTATTAATAATAATAATAAAAAACATTTCATAAATAATGGTGTGGAGAGAGAGAAAAAGAATCATTTACAATCTAAACCTGTCAGCAGAAAAACCACAGATTTATGACCAGTTTCACTCTGATATAGTCAACACAGTTATAATAAAGCTTCATGTTTGATTTTAATGACTGTTTTAAACTGTTTCATTTACCAGAGAAACTTTGAAATAATAAAGCAAATGTTTAAACACAGAAACAAATAAATAACACAACTTGTACACAAAAACAATCCACAAAACCTTGTTTCGAGCATGTTATATGTTGTAATTATGTCAAACAAAATTGATTTACTCTGAACTTTAGGGTGAGAGGAGATACTTTTTTTTTTGACATTAGGACATGAAAGGTTTAATATTTTTAAAAACACCTTGGCATGCATGTAAAACACCATTTAAACTTTTAATTTTATGTGACAGATCGTATTTTAACCCTCACATTTCCTTGCGCAAAGGACATGAATTTTGTGAATTTCCAACTGTCCCTGCTCACTGGAGCGTTAACTAAGATTTTGGTGTCATTCGAAGCAGAATGATCCCCTCTACCACAGGTTATGCCCACATTTTCAATATTATTATCTATGTGAATTTTGTGGCAATTTTTCTGAGAGTATTTTTCTTCTGATACACCCTGTATACATAATTGTTAGCAGTACACACTCAACGTTGTTGCATTGCTTTGCTTAAATCAGGACTGAACTAAGAAGCTAGTTCAAAGAGAAAACAGCTGGTAAAATTTCATCTATTGGTTTTAAATTAGGGCTGGTATATATTTTTAAATTGTGAAATATTTTAAGAGGCAGATTTTTTAAGCTACATTTTGTTTCTCTCACCTATAGTAAAGCAAAGATCAGAAGATGGAGGAACTTTGTGAATATTTAAGATCAAGACATGTGCCAGAGAAAGACATCGAACGAATGGAACAGGACAAGGTAAGTTCACATAGAATGCTATTAGGAAATGATTAAATCCAGATCATATCTGTATGTGCAGTTCTATTGTTGATTTTTTTATTTACTTTAGATCAATCAAAGTGTAATCAAGCTCATGACGGATGAAGAATTGAAGGAATATTTACCATCTTATGGTGATCAAGTGGCTGTGCTTGGATACTGCAGACGCAGAGAACCAGAATCTAGCAGTCGCAAGTCAAAACTTTTTGAAAGACTAAAAGGAAAATCAACTAACCGAAACACAAAAGACACTGTAGGAAACAAAGAGCATCCAAATTCAAATGCTAAAAAAGTGAAAGACAGATTGAACTGTTGGCTGCATTTCAGCGATAAAGATGAATCAAATGTTCAGATGCGCACAAAAAAAGGTGGAGGAACCCAAAAAGAGAGTGTTTCCAAGGACAGTACAAAAAAAAGACATAATAGAAAGAGCTACACAACTCTTTTTTTCCAGGGGGGACAAATTTAAAAGGTAATATTTCTGAATTTGAAGTGGATTTAACTGACTTTCAGGCAAATCCTCCAGAGGATGATGTCACTGTTGGGGAGCTTTATGAAAGAGTGAAGTTGCCAGTGCTGCAGTTCTACCTGAAAACCAAAAAGAGAGAAGTTGCTACAAAGGTAAATCTTGAAAGTACAGAAGTTCAACCTTGTCATTCTGATATGTCCCTTCAGCCTTCTGATGTTTTTACTGCTACCAGTTTGGAGTTAAATAACTTGGATGTGATTTATATTGGAAGCAGCACAGTTCTTATCAGCAGTGATGATGAGCCTTTTCAAGCTGTTGCTAATCCAATTAACAGTTTTCCAGACCAAGAAACCACCCTTAATGTTTATGACATGGAGGATAGTGGCATTGTGACTTTTTGCACTGAAGGCACCTCTGAAATGGAACCATATGGGCTTCTTGATGACACTTTACCTCTTACTGAGGACCTTTCACTGCCTCCTGTTATGCATGTGCCTGAAAAAGAGAAGACTATTGTTGTGGTTCACTGAGGACAAATCCTAAAACAACTAATCCAAGTGTTTTCTGAGGAAAAAATAATGAATGAAAATGTGTCCTTTGAGGTTATTCTTCCTGATGGGACAATGGAAAAGGCTGTGGATGATGGTGATGTTTTAAGTGATGTGCTATCAGAGTTCTGGAATGACTTTTATGAGCAGTGCACAATGAGGAATGACTTTAAAGTGCCATACCTGCGACATGACTTTGTAAAAGAAGAATGGGTAAGTGTAGGTCGAATCACTGCTTTTGGCTGGAAAAAGGAACAGCACTTACTAACCTGCTGCTTGTTGTTCAATGTGTAACGTGAATGTGCACAGACGGTGTGAAAGTAACGTGGCTCCAAACTGCTGAGTCGACGCCAGAGGAATTGCTAAAGTTCTCTCAGACCTCGGAGTAACACCTGACAAGATCTCCAACAGCACGCAGAGACAAAAAAATGTACAAAAAGCTCAAATGATCCTGTTCGTTATCGTTAAAATAACACATCCAAAAAAGTGTTGTAGACTAATTTAAATGAGAAACAGAAAGAGATTGTGTATTGTGTATTCTGAGCAGCTTCTTCAGGCTCAGGATCTTCAGCAGTCTCTATCTGAGATTCCTCAAACAGAAGACGACCGCTCACAGTCTGTGTCCACCTCCCCCTGTCATCCAGTTGGGCAAACTTCAGATCATTCACTTAATGTGTGCAACAAACCTAAACACATGAACAAACTCTTCATGACTCACTTTTTATTTGTCTGTGCAGATGTGAAGGAGCTGGAGAACATCAGGAAAGCTCTGTCCTTTATCACCGCGGTGAAGAGCACAGGACGCACCCTCTCTCTTCCCCTTCTGTTGCCACTGTAATATGTGACCCCCCATGAGGGAGAAGACAGTGGAAACAAATAGGCAGAAAGAGAGAACTACAAGAACGGAGAAGTCATAGGTCAAGGTGCTCCAGAGACCAAGAGGATAAACCTGCATGACTTTGTGTTTATTAAAGTTCTGGGGAAAGGAAGTTTTGGAAATGTACGATGTTGCTCACACGCCTGACAGGAAGCAGAAATGATCCTCTCTGGTTCTGACAACCTTTGGTCTTGTGATCAGGTGATGCTGGCAGAGCTGAAGGGCACCGACTAGGTTTACGTGGTCAAGGTGCTGAAGAAAGACGTGATCCTGCAAGATGATGATGTGGACTTGCACCATGACGGAGAAACGGATCCTCGCCTTGGCCAGGAAACATCCATACCTGACACAGCTCTACTGCTGCTTCCAGACCAAAATAAGCTCGCTCACACAGTTTGCAGTGACATGCTGCACTATTGTGTAATATTTGCACAAATCTTTTTTAATAATGTTTGAGGTCACACTGCAAATATTAGCTCTGAGCAACTAAATACTCCCAGCTTGACTGTAGCCAAACTGGTTCCTGAGCAGCTCGTGGAAAAGCTAGGTCACATGCAAGGAGGTTCTATAGAACAGCTGGAGTGCGCAGAAACCACGTGACCGTGTGATCAGCTGGTGAAGCTTACACCTAACGCTAAACGGTCAAGTGTCTGGATTTCCCATTACTGTACATGTTGACAAAAGAGCAGAAAAAAAGGACTGACAATGTAGAAATCATAAAAACTATTAATAATAATATTAATCAAATTATTATTAATATTTTACAGTTTATATAATCTATCTAAAGTTTTAAATAAAGCTGTTTGTGTTAAATAAAGCTGTTTGTGTTATGGATTTATTAACAGAAGAGAAGCAGGAAAACGTCTCATTTTACAACACAAGTCAGCAGATTTGATCTTATTTAGCTCAATGTGATCTGAGCAGAACATAATGTAACAGTTTAAAATTAAAATAATCTTATAAAGTCAATGTAATCACTGTTATTTATTGAACTGGTTAACAGATATTAGCTTGTGGAGCATATATACAGAGTTTAGCACTTTTGAATCATGCTACAATTTAACACAAACTATTAAATATTACTTTGTCCTCTGATTAATATTTAGACCTACAC